TGTTTTCGTCGCGCTGTGATGACGTCAAATGCGCGCTTTCGTCGAGCGCGATTTTGTCCTCCACGGTTTTGTGGTGGAACCGTTTGAAGGCCGCCCTATAAAAATGTTTTCCCCCAGGACAGCTAACAAGTCTTCAATTTTTAAAAAAATCATGTGGATTTCAATAGGCCTGGTAGATTTACAAGAGACAAAATCTGGCTCTAAGTGCTGAAATCTAAGAATTTAAATGGCTTCAATTAGACTGAAATTTAAAATCTAAGTGCTGAGCTTCAAAACTATAAGGGGTCAGCACGTGGCGGTAGGGATTAGCATATTCTCAACTTTTCATTCTGCTTCTCTAAGAACAGTGTGTGTGTGCCTGCATGTATCTATTCACACATCATTCCAAGGCACAGAAAGGGCTGCAAATTTGGAAGGAGAAATCTAATATCAGATTCCTATTCCTGTTCTCCCATCTGCTTCCAAGTGCAGCTGCTTCGGTGCCAGAGACCACCCTGCAGTTGGGTCGCCAAGACAAAATAACGACATGTGTATAGTGTCGTCATCAGGCGAATCCTGTCCTTATGTCCTTCGTCTGTAATGTTTGATGCACGTACATGTTGCAGTATTTGCTTCCCAGCAGTTGTGCCCAGATAAGGGAGGCTGAACAACTGGAAAGGGGTGGGCAGAAACTGCACTGTAAGGATTCAAAACTCATCCAACTTGCCCCAATAACCTCAATCCACGTAAAAAAATAATTCCCCTTTGCTAGCAAGGAGGCAGAAAGAAATATCAAGGGTGAAGATTTGAGAGGTACTCTATACAGGTAGTCCTTGACTTAAACAATCACAATTGAGCCTAAAATTTATGTTGTTAAGTGAGGCATTTGTTAAGTGTTTTAACTTAGCTCACACTAAATCTGCATGGGAGGGGGCGGGAAACTTCTTGCAAATTTCACGGCTTGTGCTTCTCTTTATTTGCCTCTGCCTGAAATTAGCAATAGCAATAGCAGTTAGACTTATATACCGCTTCATAGGGCTTTCAGCCCTCTCTAAGCGGTTTACAGAGTCAGCATATTGCCCCCANTCCTCCTCCTCCTCTCCCCTTTCTTCACTGGCTGCAACTGAGTGAGGAGGCACTGCGGGGCCAGGTCCCTCGCACCCACATCCAGCCCACTGGAGCTTGCCGCGCCGGGGGAGGAATGAGACCCCGTTGTCCCACGGAGCCCGCCACCGCTTGAGCGGGGGGGGGGGAGGAGGAGGAGGAGGAAGAGAAGAAGAGCGGTGATGCCTTGTGCCGGTTGGCCGGCCAGGCAGGGAATAGGTCGGGCGGGGAATGGGTGGGCTGGCTGGCTGGGGAGGGGGGATCATGGCCGCTCAGGTGGCCCCTGAAGCCCCGCCGAAGCCCTGGCTCATGTCCGCCATAGAGTGGGACGTGTCCCGCTGTATGGCAGACACGGCGACAGGGCTTTAAAGTTCCGGCGCCGTATCCACCATAGGCCGGGACGCGTCCCGCTGTATGGCGGACATGGCGGCAGGCCTTTAAAGTCCCGGCATCGTGTCCGCCATAGAGCGGGATGCGTCCCGCTGTATGGTGGACACGGCGCTGGGGCTTCAGCGGGGCTTTCGGAAAGCCGCGCTGGGGCTTTGATGTGGCTTTCTGAAAGCCTCGCCGAAGCCCCGGCGCTGGCAGACATAGGGTGGCAGGCATGCCTCACCAGCCATGAACCTCACCGCACGTCACTGATTGGCTTACATATTATGTTTTATAGTTCTCTATTCTACATTGCCTTCCTTCCTATCAGTCTTAACATCTGTAATAGTGTAATAACAGTTGTTGTATTCACAGTTGCAACAATAACAATTTGTTCATATCACCATTATATTTACATTATGGTCAATACTTTTAAGTTTGATAGTAATTAGTAACTTTAGTTAATTTTTATTCAATACTAGTTTAGAAAAAGCAAAGAAAAAAAGACTTCTATTTCCTGTTTTGGCTTCAGTTTTCTAGCCACTTATAATTTCTATTCCGTATTTTATAATAATCCGATTCTTCTCTTTCTTTGAACTCCATGGTAGTTTTGTCCATCTCTGCACATTCGAGTACCTTGAAAGGTTTTCCAAGGTACACATGAGAGAGTGGGCTATTCTTATCTTGGCCTCTTCTGTCCTGTTTCTGTAAGGATGAATGTGTGATTGAAGGGTGTGAATTTTCTTCCATTCTCCTTATTTGAGAAAGCAGGTTTGTTTTGCCCTGGGAACTATGGACAGGGCTCTGGTTTTAGAGCTGAGATGTAATGACTGATGGCACCATGCTACAGGGAAGATACAAATATTCAACGTGCGTTAAAAACCACAGAAAAATCACACTCAACAATTTCCTGTTCAGCCCAGCTATCACATTTGGATTGCA